ATTAATTGGAGTTTTGAATTACCTTTTACAGAATTAAATAAATTAATTATTAATTTTAAAAAAAGATATGAGCAAGTGTTATATGAGCAAAGAAATGTTAGCAAGTCCTGAGTATCGTCAGGTGAAAATAGTTTGGAAATTTTCCAGGCTGCGATGAGAGCGGTTTCAGAACAATTCACAAAATGCGACCAGTGCCATTTTTTTCCTTGAATAGATGCAAAGTAATTTTCCATATAACTGTCAAATAGGTCAACTCCATTTTTATATTTATTGTATGATGTAATACAAAATGGAACATCGACATCTTTCCTGCCTCCCTTTACACGACGCTGTATTTTTCCGTTTACTTTTGCCTCTTCAAAATTAGTGAGCAACGAAACTACACGGTTGTCGTTCCACCGAACACCAGCTATTTTGTTCGCTTTATCAAATAGGGCATCGGATGTTCCTCTTTCAGTTTTAGCTAAAGATTTCAAAGAAGTTAGAGGGCATTTTGCCATTCGATTGTCTCTAACAGTTCCAGTAGCACAAAATCCTAGTTGTTGCAAACGAACCATCAATCCATGTGAAGTAAAAAAGTTATCCATATATACCTTATGAAACTTAGGAATTTTCACAATAGAGAGCAAACTTTCCACTACACGCTGAGAAAGAGGTTCCTTACACTTTTCTTGAGCACCTTGATAAGGAATAACATTGAAAGGATATCCATCATATGAAGTCAACATCCACAACTTGTATCCAAATTTTACTGGTTTATTTTTAATAAAAATTTTACACCCATGTTTACCGAAATACCTTACCATTCTTTCATCGATGGTTAGATTTTCGGAAAATACTCCAAATTGTTGCAGCGCAACATTGAGTTTTTCTAAAAGTGGGCGAATTTTATAATAGCGATCCTCTTTGTTTATGCTTAATTATTATTAAAATGTAAGTATTTTTTTATGTCGCTATATCTTTTCCTGGATGTAGCTCTATTTACTAGAGTTGTGCCAGTGTCTGGAGCATTCTCCCAATAAATTTTTTCTCGTGGTAAAATGTGATATCCGCTATAGAAAAGGATTCCTATAAATTTTTTGAAATCATTTTCATCGACACTGAAAGAATGATCATTTTTCTGAAACGCATATCGATTAGTTTCTATTACTGTATGTGATATCATACTATCAGCCATCATGTGAAAAAGTTCAAAAGGAGTTTTTCCCGATATCTTGTCCGTAATATGTTAATGTTCTTCAGAGGAAAAAGAGCACGGTAAGAGCGAAAATTTTGGTTCACATTTTTCCCATTTAGGTGGTTTAGCATCAAACTTGATTTCTTCACAGATATTTGACAAAATTTCAATAGTTCCTGCAGAATCTCGAATTTCAGAATCACCACATGTTTCCACTATATTACAATTTGTTATGGAATCATCTATATCTTCCTCATCACTAACGTCGTCCAGTTCTGGGGGAATAATTATCATTTCAGGATCATCTAAATCCTCATCAGATAAATTATTCATATATTCTAGCGCTTCCTCGGCAGTTCGAAATTTTTTGGCTATTTACTAGAGCAAAAATGACCAGACACATGCGAACTACAAAATAAAGACACAACTGAACTAATGGGAAGATAGGAAAGAACTGAATGAAATTTCATGTGTATGTGCAATAGCCTACACAAAAGAACTGGTTTGGTGAGAGGGGACTGGTACAAAAGAATTCCCACCCATTAGTTCCCACCCCCACATTCCACCCATTAGTTACTTTTAAAAGATAACAATAAACACTGTCCCATGAATTCAAGGAATGTTCTAAGGAAGCATGGGTGTGTTATGTAAAAGGGTGGGTATTGGACCTTTGTCCTATTTATAGGACAGTTAGAAAACTCGTGTCAAAAATCTTATAAAAATTATTTTTTTCCTAGATATTTTTTGTATTTTGTTTTGCACCAATGATTAATTACAAAAAGAGAAGATGTTTTTTTAAGAAAAAGAATATTTTTTTTATTATATAATAGCTTTAAATTACGACTTATTTCTAGGAGTGAATTCAATGTAATTTTTTTAATAATTTAATTTTCTAAATTCCATTTTTTATACATTAATCTCTTATATTAGACAAATTTTCATATCTTGCAATTATGTGAATTATAAATGTTTCTTTTACTTTATTTGTAATTAATTCAACTGTCCTATAAATAGGACAGCGGTCCAATATGAGTTAAATTGCTTTTGCCAAAAGCTCTTTTTTTAAGAAATATTTCGGCTGTATTAAATAAATTTTTAGGTCTTTTCCAAACTGAGACACCATTGATTCACTTACTGTATGATGAAATAGTGTCTCTAGTTAAGGCATTGTTAGGGCCTTTTTAAAGAGTTCTGCTTTTCTTAGTTTGTCAAGAAAGAACTTAAAATCATTTGATGTAGAAAACGCAGAAATTTGGCAAAATTCAAATTTAATAGATGTTGGACTAGATACCACAAAAACAATGACATCCTTATTTTGTTGTATCTATGTATTTAGGTTCCAAGTCTTTTTACTTGGCATGCGCAAAAAAGTTATTAAAAGCATTGCCTCTTGAAAATAGTTTGCTGTACCATCTTAAAGTGTTGCATCCTGTAATGAGAATGGAAAACACTTCTAATAAGTCAATAAGATATCTGGCAACAGTAACCCCATCCATTATAAAATCTGAAGAGGCATTTTATTAACTAGATGAATGGACGAGGTTACGGGGGCAACCAGAAGGTTTTTCTTCTGATTCAAATGAATAAGCACCAATTGATGTGTTTTGGAAAAACTATTTTGTGAAAAAGATAATTTGGGAAATATCAAATATTCTCTTTTAACAAAGCTTTTTAAACCTCTTTTGTGCATACCACATGGGAATGCCAATGCTTTAAAGTTGACAAAGATAAGATTAAAGTGACTCGTGCAGCATTTAAAAATTATTCTGCTCGATTAGAGGTTGAGAAAAAAGAAAGAAAAAAGCGCAAAGAATGTTAAAATACTGAAACTGAGGAAAGGTGCTGAAATTGATTTGCAAACTAAAATTGAAGCCTTCTCAGGATCTCTTAGCCACAGCTGAAAAAAATATTAAAGATGGGTTAAATAATAAAGGCATGTTCATTATAGAAAGCAGACAAATCCTCTTATCTGAGGCTAAGTCGAGGATAGCAGAATATTTAACAATATTGGAAGATACCAAGAAGAAACTTAATTTGTTTACCTTCAAAAAAATATAAAAAAAATAAGATATGTTATTAATGAACAAAATTAAAAATTCTTGTTATTAAATTCTTGTTTTAATTCTTTTTATTAAATATGCTCCAAATCTTTATTTCGCTGCTCCAAAACTGCTTTTTTGTTGCTCCAAAACCATGTTTTGCTTGCATAATCCATGCATAATCTTCGAGAAATAAAAATTTTAAAATAAAACTTTTTTTTAAATTTTATAAGAATTATCTGACCGATTTTGCCTAAATTTTGTTCTTTGTTGTTTAAAATTTCATAATTTCAAATGGTTTAAAATTGTGTACTTAATTAATAATAATATAAATGTAATGTAAATAATCATTATAAACTATTTTTTACATTAAATTATCGCTGCTCCAAAACCATGTTTTGCTTGCATAATCTTTGCATAATCCATGCATAATCTTTGAGAAATAAAAATTTTAAAATAAAACTTTTTTTTGAATTTTATAAGAATTATCTGACCGATTTTGCCTAAATTTTGTTCTTTGTTGTTTAAAATTTCATAATTTCAAATGGTTTAAAATTGTGTACTTAATTAATAATAATATAAATGTAATGTAAATAATCATTATAAACTATTTTTTACATTAAATTATCTTTAGATGAATAAATTTTATAACTATGTGCAAAAAATTATCAATTTGCTTTAAACTTCTTGAGAAAAGGAAATTGACGTTATGGGGTAAAAGCTTTCAACAGCTCTCATGCCAAAACTACTTAGATCATATTTTCCAGATCTCAACTAACCCCTCCCTTACATATTTTGATGATCAAAAATCCATGCTTGGTAAAAAAAGGTACATTTATTTAGAGAAAGTATGTTTTTGTGTCTGTTTTTGTAATTTAATTAATAGCATGCAGTAATTAAATAGCTTATTCAAGTTTACCCTTTTGAACAACTAAGATATGCTCTTAGTTTATGAAAATCCGATTATTATACCAAAAGTTATTTAAGGTGATATCATTTTTATTTTGTGCTCTGTATAAATATATTTTATGATGAATTTCAAATGAATTAGTGATGTAGTTTGTGGACCAGTACATATTAATGATTACTGGTCCTGTGGAATTTTTTTTATCTAGAATTTCTTAAACTGTCTTATTATTTAATGAGGGAGGGTTAACTTTTTGCATTTTATGTGACTTTTTCTTCAAAATTCTGTTCACCATGGTGTCTACAGTTTCGTAGCTAATGCCTAAGATTTTTAAAATCAAAACTCTCTTTGGTTTTGAAAATCTGGATTTTGTTTTATTATTTATTTTTTAAAGGAAAATTTTTTCAACATAATATCTGACTGAAACATTCTTGAAACCTGCCTTTCCTATCAACTTGGGTAACTTTGTCTGTTTTTAAATAATATTAAATTAAAGGAAATTGTTATCTTAATATAAGTTTCTAAAAGCACAGATAAGGAAGTAAAAGTGATTTAAATCAAAAAAAAAAATTCATAATTGTTTAATCTGTGAGTGTTGGGAGATCTTGTTTTTCATAAAAATTAATCACTAATATAGATTATTTAATAATAGTGAACATTAAGGAGTACTGTGTTGAAATATCTGAAAGATATATTTCGTAGTGCTGAAATAGGCATATCTCTAGAATTCTGTTAGTTCCTGGAAATTTTTTTCTCGTACTGCCGTGAGTTTCAAAGGGATTTCAAAAATTATTATAAAAGGTTCTTAAAAATTTTGAACATTATTGTTAATCAATTACATTTTTTCACCAATTAAATTCATAACTTTATTTTTCAGATCTAAATCGAATGAATTAAGTGATGGCTCTTACACACCACCTTTTGAACCACGTTCATATACACCACCCCTACCTGCAGTTGATGAACAACCACTTGGAGTAGAGTCAGAATGTAGTTCTTCATCCAACAATTGTTATGATAGTAAACCTTCATTTCATTCAAGTGAAAAGAATGAAAAAAATACCTCTTCAATTTTAAAGAAAAAAAATGAATCCAAAGAGCGGGAGGAAAGTAAACCTTATGATCCTGAGCAAGATGTTCTTAGTTTATCAGTTGAAGAGTGTGGCAGAAAGAAGGAAATTTTAGAAGAGCATAAAAAAATTTTAGATGCTCTAACAAAACAAGTGGAAGAAACTGATCGAGAAGTGAGTGCTTTGAAGCATTACGTATCAATCCCTAAATCATCTACAGAAGGGCAAAGTTCTATAAGCGATGACATAAATTCTGTAGTAGAATCAGGAATGACAACATTTTTAGATATACCTGAAAATTTACAAGAAATCTTAAATACTGTGCGTTTAAAATCTGGGGACTCTGAATTAAAAGATGACGTTGACATGAGAGTAAATAAAAGTCACATAAATAAACTTTCATTTAGTCTTCAAGATGCAGTTGAGGCAGAAGATAAAGCAACACCCCCATCTGAAGAATTTGAGAAACCATATCCTTCTGATCCCCGTATAAAACTCAGAACACCTTATCAAGAAACGTCACCTGAAGAGGAAATTACTTCTACTAAGAAGAATTCTGAAAAAAGTATAAAGCAATCCACTACTTCAATTCCTGTTAGATTAATGCCCACAAATTGGAATCAGTTTAGAGAACCACCACCTCCGGGAATTGAGCCTTCTGAATTACTAATACCTGATATATTTCAAGCAAAACCTGATGATTCTGTTTTGCTTTCTGCTCCACCACCACCCCCTCCTCCTCCACCACCACCACCACCCCCACATTATGTCTCTTCTTCAATTGTGCAAGATAAATGTTGTCCGAGTTTTCCACCTCCAACCATATCTTACCAAACACATTCTACATTTTCTGTTCCCAATATTGTACAACCCCCATTTTCACCACCTCCCCCTCTACCAATTCAAACTTTGCCTTCTAAAGGAAATGGTGATCAGTGGTCCACTGGATATCAACCAAAAAAAGAATGGAATGAGTCTCAATGGAGTTATTCAGCTGATACATCTAGTGGTTACAGAAGGAAACAAACAAATAAGCATTGGGAAAGAAGGTATAATCGTGGTATAGGTTTTAAACGTCCACTTAGAGGACATAAATTTGAGAACAAGCGTGGTAACAGTTATAGAAAAAATCATAGAAACTGATGTTTTTATATGAGCCAGGATTTTAACTCTTTAAATGTAACGTTGCAAACAAATAGCTATATTTTTCACTTGTTAATTGTCATATTTGTATCAGTCAAGTGTGTTGCTGTTCTCTCAAAGCTTTATAAAAAGCTGCATTTTAGTGCCATTATTTTCAAATGCAAATTAATCATTGCTTAACATTTATTTCCTTTTTTTATAGATTCTTATTGCATAATCACTTTATGTTACTTTTTAAGGTAGAAATATTTCTCTTTTCAGAAAAATGTAGATTTACTTTTACTTTAGTTTAAGTTTTGATTTACTTTTGTTAAAGTTTAATTTATTTATTTAAAAAATAACACAAAAGTCTTAAAGTGTTAATATTTTTTGTATAAAATCTGTAAAGTGAGATGTTTATCAGTCATTTAAAATTAAGCATGTTTCTATTCATTTATAAACAGTTTTAAAAGCAGTTTTTATTTTTAAATGTATATATGTATGCATATATATAAATATATACAGTCAACGCATCTTGTAACAGCCCTTGTAGACCGAGCAAAAATGGACATTGGAATATGAGGTCGTTATAGCGTGAGTGTGCAATAATGCCTTAAATAATAACTCACAGCTAGAAAATTACTCAAACATGTTTATGAAAGCAATATTAATAAAAATTTGACAATGAACAGAAAAATTAATAACAGTGCAACTTTTTTCTTTATCTATGTATAAATGTAAACGTGCCTTTTAAAATAATAATATTTGAAAAATACAATACAAATAATATACTGGTTCGGGGTTGCCATTTTCAATGAATTACATATGTCAAGATGACTGTTAAGACCACATGTTTTAACTCGAAAATAAAACGCAAATGGCAACTGACATTTCAAAAAAAAATTTTATAATTTTCAAACAAGAAATGTATGATTGATCAATTTATAGTATGTTTTAAAAAGAAAGTTACATAGTTTTTGAATCACCATAAATTATGACCACCTAGGACTTTGGAAAAGAATTTAGGGGGTCATGTCTCTCTTATTTCATTCAAAGGGTATTTATTGTGCTGTAACTTCAGAGGCAAAAGTAGTTTAATTAATTTCTTTAAAAGTTTTTCTAAATCAAATGACTAATTTTCGACAGCCGTATTTGAATGAACAGTTCAGTGCAGACATTCTAATAGACATTAAAATACATTGTGTCTATGGAATAGCAAACAAGACTATGCATGGGTCATTGTAGTGGAAGGGTTGCTGCTTAAATGGAGTCGTACTAAAGATCGTAGTTTATGTATGTAATTTTTTAATATGACGGTTACATTTTATCTGCATACAAAGTGCTATTTTTATTTTTGTCTAAAATGTTTTTACCTTTAGCTAGTAAAATATAAGGTTTAATATAATTGTAATTTTGTTTTAATTTTAAATTAATCATAAAGTTAATCATTTAAGTTAAATGTGTATTACAATATTTCTGCTTTATTTTTTCTGAAAAATTGAATTCCCTAATTATTTAATTGCTATTGATAAATTAATTGTAAAATATTTTGTAATATATTACTAGCGATATCATAAATATGATAATGATTTTTTACTGAGATCAGAAATATTTGTTATTTTATATAGATTTTAGAGTTTTATTATTTATATTTTAATCAAAAATCAGATCATTTTTGTTTATTAATTTCACCACTGAATTGTTCTGTAATTAAAGATGTCTCTGTAATGTCTTTCAGATGATCTCGATCAATCTTATGAAGCTTCTTTACATAGGATTAAATTTAACTCTTTTTTCTGGTTTAAATCTGCCATATTGAAGAACTAATTGAGTTTTATTTGTTAAGAATAAATTTGTAATTGAGAATAAAAAGTAAATCACTTAAATATTTTTTATGTAATGTGATCATATTGAGCCCAAAATACATGCAGCGTTAGTTTCACTTTTGCCTAAAAATGTCAAATACTTCAATTTGAAAATATTTTTTCCTTTGTTCAGTTAGTATAACTGATAGTATCGACCAGCATCTCTTTCAATTTTTATTTAATGCGTTGTATCACTTGTGATATATGTTTTTTAAGAGAAAAATAACAATAATTAGCTTCCTTTATATATGTTCCTTTTGAAAATAGAGCCCAAAACCTGAGTATTGTAGATAGGTCCCCATATAATTCTAAACTAAATTAAAGCTTATTGACCCTCAAGTTAATTTAAATATTAAATTACCTGTAGTAAATTTTAAGCACATAACATTGGCTAATATCCAATGTTGCATTCTATAGGAAAAATGTTTTAGTTTATTTTAAATGGTCAAATTCAATTTTTTTTTAAATTTACTTTGTGTTTAAGACTAAATGAACTTTACAACCTAGTGGAATATAGAATGAATTTAACAATAATCTATTTTGAAATAGTTTCGTAATTGATTTAATAAAAAATATTTACTTTTTTAAATTTCAAAAGTATTTTAACTTCATCACAGTTAAAAACAAATTTTGAAACAATTTTATAAGAAAATATTTATTTAAAATAAATTAACAGCTGTAAGTAAAGTAAGCCCTTTTTTATATTCAACTTGTTTAAGTGTTTGTTTCAGTGGATAAACTTAAAGAAAATTTTATGTTTTATATTTACACTCCTTCCTTTTAGATTTTTTTCTTAAATAAATCTGCTCTTATAAATCATACAATGAAGGATTATCAAATTCTCTAAAGTTGAATGAAAATTAAAATTTCTTATTAATTTTTGAGTATAAATATAAACTGCAAATTGATAAGTATTATACTTTGTTAATAATAATGAGTGAAGTGTCTGTTTCATTAAGTAGTTTAAAGTGCTTCTAAAGCAGTTCATTTGTGCCGCTTTGACAAGAATTCTACATACTTTGCAAAGATTTATCTAACTCTAAAATCTGAACACAAATTGTACTTATTACCATGTCATTCATGGGAGAAGTGAAGATGACTTTTCCGTGTTAAACCGTTTTTTGAAATAAATTAAATTTGAATTAGTTTATATAAAATATTAAAATTCTTTTTTATTATATGCCATCTTCTCATTTTGTTGAAAATGTGCTGCAGAATTTAAATTTAGGTACACCGAACAGGTTTTTCTTCTACTGGATCTATAACATTTAAGAGATGAAAATACTTAACTATAAAAAAAAACTTATAATTTAAGGAATACTCAATCATTCTTAAAAGAAATTGTAATTGACTTAATTTCTTGTACCAATTAGAACTTTAGGTGAATTAGAATAAGTTCAGGCAGATTAATCCTCTTTCCTTCAAATTATTTCCTGAATTGATTTTCTTTTAAATATTCTGTACATAATGAATCCTTTTGTTGTGCATTTGTATATAGATATGTCAGAAAGAATAAATGAATATTGCTTTATCTCTGGTTCTCAAGCTTATCTATTTCTTTCTTTTTTTATTTTAATTATCATTCATTGATTTTTTTGAAGAAGTCAACAAAAGGTTTCTTGAAAATATTTATAGCAATTGTTTTGCGAAAAAGTTTTAAAAAAATCAGTTAAAACTGTAGTTATATAGACATATAATTTAGTTATTTTGTTCCTATGTTGCAACAAAGCTTCCCAACCTCTTTTAAATCCCCACCTACTTTAAAAATCAAAATTTTTTCAACACATCCTTACAAAAAGAAATTACATTTTTAATTCTGACAGATTTAAATTTAATCGTGAATATTAATTTTTCAGAATACAAAAAAAAAGGAGAATTAACTTTATCATATTAATGTAATTTTAATGATAAAGCACAAGGTATAAAAAATTAAAACAAATGAAGGATGTAAAAGAATTTTCTATAATTGAATCTTATTTTAAAATGACTTCTGATTTTTCTGGTTTATTCCAAGGTAAAAATTATACAAAGTAAACATACAATTATACAAAGTAAAAAAAAAAAAAAAATTAAACTTCATATTAATTAAATTTTCATGATAAAGGACCGGGATAAAAAAATTAAAACATATGAAGAAATTAATTTTCATTTCAAAATGACATTTAATTTTAACAAATCTACTGATTTCTCAGGTTTATTCAAAGGTAAAAATTACAAGGAAAAATATAATACATAAAATAAAATATATATATATTACCTCCAGGGTGCCATATTTAAATAAGTTTCTTATTTACAGAAGTATAATCTAAACGCTTCGTTAATTGTAAAATTATAACCAAACTTTTATTGTTTATTAAAGGTTACATGGTTATTTTTTTTAACTTAAAATTATTTTTCGAGTTATAGCTATTCGAATCAAAATTGGATAGCGAAAAAGATTAATGAAAATTTTAAAAAATCTTTTGAAAAAACCAAATGATATTGAGAAATTATGTACTTTATATACTTGTTATATACTTTAAAAAAATTTCAAGTATAAATTGAATGAAATATATTTAAGGAATTTAAATTATTCTAACAAAATATAGAGAAAGCAATTAACAGAAATATCATTAACATAAACAACGTAAAAGCTAAAATCCGATAAAATCTAAATCTGAGAAATTTTTTGTACTTTTAAAAATTATTACGTAGTTTTTAGTAAGACTTAATATTTTATTAATAAGAATTAAGAGTTACAGGTTATAAAATTAATTTCAGAAATGAACAAAAAGTCAAATTTAGCTCAAAAATATTTGAAAAATAACAAGGACTGAGGAATAAAAATTACTATAGAGAAAATAAAAATCTGAAGAAAAAAATATTTTTAAAAATAACTAACAAAAAATCAAAGTGAACTACGAAGTTTGAAAATTAAAATGAGAGGAAAATTCATTTCAATATTACATGACTAAATATAGAAAGTAAATCAAGTCAGACAAAAATCGTAATTACTAAGCCAGGTATACTGGCAAAAAATGCATTAAACTATGTCTGACACACAAAAAAAAAGGAAAAAAGATTACTTAACAACCTTAGAATTGTCAGCCCTGTGTATAACTAAAAAATGCAAATCGCAAGCATGTGATGGCTCTGACTAAACTGTTGGAACCATTTTTTACCAGACTGCGGCTATCCCATTATTTTAAAGGTCAAGAATCAGCATACGTTGAAAGAAAAATGTTTATTCAAAGCAAGTGTGCTTTTGTGGGGGAAATTTCTTGTGTCTTCATATTGTCTACTCTTACACTACAGTAATTATTTCGCATACTTAAAGTTAGGCTCTTGAACCATTCGAATTGAGTCCTGCGAAAATTCAATTGTTTGATCTAAGAGTGTTGCTTTAAGTTTTATATTACATTGAAAAGATTTTTTTTCTTCCAATTTTGTGGAAAATAACTCGTGTATGAACTCATGTGGAAAATAACTACTTATATATGTTAGCATGAAAATAAGTTCTACAAATCACTTTTTAATTTAAATTAAATACTTCATTAAATATTTTTTATGTTATATCTTACAGAAAATGAAATATTATGTGTTTTATGAATGTCAGGTTGACCTGCAATTTATCCCCTACATGTTATAGCTTATACTAATACTAAGTGAAACGTATTTCAAAGTCAAATCAGAGAGTTATGTGAGTTGACAGTAAGAAATTCAATGTTAATTACATTTTGATAATATCCCTTTCCTTTATTAAACGAAGGAAACACGCAAATTTTAGAAATAAACTAAATAATATATTTGAGAAAATTCTATTAAATGAGTTAAAAGGAAGAGAAAAATGAACAAAAATTTACATTTCTGACTTTTCAGTGTAGTGTTTCTTTGCCACCATTAAAAAGTGAGTGGTTTTTTTTTTTTTTTTAAATAATTTTGATAACAATTGCCTTAATGGCAAATACTATAAACTGAATTAAAAATATAAATAATTCTTTGGTATCAAATCAAAGAAACTATGAATTCTGCTGTGAACTCAACATTAATTTCATTGATAGTTTGCAACACCACTCAAACACCCACAAATTGCTAGTGCGTCCCTGAACGTCATCATTGTCTACTGGGGCTATCTTTTGAAAATTACAGTTTTGTGGAAAAATAGATCTGATGTATAATATTTTTCTAGCCACTTGAAATAAATTTATAAAGTACAATACAGGAATTTTTTCATTTTGTGGCACACTGATGTTAATTGACCATCTTTCCATATCATAAGTATTTGCCTCCAGCTTCTTGAAAGATCAAAAGAAGCCAGACCTGCTTTCTTTCATCATTCAAAGAAAAGCAATGTACATTACATAATAGAACCAGTTAAACCTCTTTCCTCACTGCGAAGATCAAAGCAAATGTTTATGTAAAAAACAAAACAGCTATAAAGTCTCCACCCATCATGCAATATTCATTCTACATTTCCTATTTAAAAAGTCAAGAAAGGATTGTTACCTTTTTATGATTTGATGGCTTGGAAAGTATTGATTTTGACGTAATGAAATTAAAGTCTACTAACAGAGCCGTTTTTAAAGATGGGGCCCCCGAAAAGTATAAAATTTCATTGCATTAATTGTTTTTTTTTTAATTCTAACTTATGTATTATTTATAACTTAAGAGGGCCTCCAGATCCCACTTTATTTCTTCTTTTTTAAAGTTTTATTCGGAGCTGGGGCCCTGTGAAGCCTATAATAATTTTTTTTCTTCTTTTTTACATTGTCGGACGCTTTTCAAAATCCAACCGAAGTGTTTACAAATATAAAATAATTGTTACTCTTCACTTTTCGAACCAAAAGAGTAATAAAACGCTCTTTCCACTGATGAAAATATCACCACTTTCGTAGCTACCACCACAGTTGTCAAATAGCCTCCTCACTTTACACCGTTTGAAAATATTTTTAAGCTTCTTTATATTGCCTTGGGCTCTTTTTTCCTAACTTCGGAAATATCAAATATCCACAGAAACACCCTTTTGTCTGTATGTAATATGAAGTGGACTGTAATGGTTTGATTAAACATTTATTAAACAAAACTTAATAAAACTTTTGCTTCTTTAAATTGCCTTAATCATTTTTATGACCCTGGGCACTTCTGTACTTTTATGAAAAATTAATTTAACATATAATTATGTATATATTTACGGAGCCAACTATATGTCCGATAAGTTGTCTTAAACAAGCAACTATCTAGATGTTCTAGGAAAACAGATGTAAGCTTTTAAGGGATCCAAGGGGATGACTCTTGTTGACATTTACTTAGGTCATTTTGTCAAGAGACTTTTTCTGAGACAAATTTTCTAATCACTCATCTGTTAAATTCCAGTTTTTAGCTCATTTAATTACGTCTTTAAAATTAACTATTTTTAATTCAGATATAAATTTTCTGTTAGCTTTTATTTTATTCAATTTTTGAAATAAAAATTTAACCTTAATTAAGAGTAATTAAAATTATTTGCAACTGTCCTTTATTTTCAAACATAAATCGTGATATCAATAATTCCCATTCTTAATAAAAATTTTCTTTGGAAAACAAGAAAACGAAAAGAAAATTTATTTCTAAGGAGGTAAAGAAATGTTTGCATTAACTCATTTAAAATTGTACATTTATGTACTGTTAGAATTGTTTTATAAGAATGGTCACGTAAAAAGCTTTTTATATGTTCGTATATCAAATTTCATTTATATAGTACTTTAATTTATGTTTTTACTGTTTATTGAGTGCATGGATTTTGTTCTTATTCTATATTTTTTAAATTATTAAGACCTTTAAATTTTTAAAATTGGAACTTCGAATTTTTTAGGCTTTTTAACAACTTTGTTTTCATTAAAAAATGAAATGCAACGTTTAATTTTATTAAAAAAAAATCATATTTAATTTAATAAAAAAAACGCATTTAATTTAATAAAAAAAGCTATAAACATCAGCTTAGAAAACCGTAGCAATTAAAATTCATTGTCATGACAAACCATTAAAAAGATTTTTTTTTAATTAGAAAAAAGGCTTTGACTTTTTCTGATTTTTCGTTTTCGAATATTAAGAAAATAATTATTACTCTTTGTCATATATGATCACATGAATACATAAGCCAAATATTCAAGAATGAATTCTTTTCAAAATATAGCAATAATTTTTAGGGACCTGTTCATATTGAAGTAAGGCAACTTAGTTTTTTAATCGATGTACACAGAGAAAAAATTTCTGGACATTTTTTCAATTGTGACTTTTTAAAATGTGGGTATATCTGCCGATAAAAAAAAGTCTATAATTTCCTTCAATTTCCATAACGCGAATTGAAATTTTTAGATTTGGAACTAAAAAATATTTTTTATTTTTATAATGGTTTTGTCTTGAAAAGACCTTCCTAACGATATGGTAACCAGATTCAAGAGGTTTATAAAATTGGTATTTTATGATTAGCATTATATTTAGAGGAAAAGGGAGCTGCTGTGGACTTGGGGGACAAGAGTAGACAACATGAATAGCTTTTTTTTCCTAGTCAAA